GTCGCATTTATCACACTACACTACACGGATCAGATGCGTTTACCATGACCTGAACTCTGGGAAGCAACAATGCGGACCCTCGGCTCGGCGCCTGAACTCAGCACTTCAACACATCACACTATAGCATTCTGCGCACCTGTATTTGGCCCCAGTGGGCAACTAACCACACAGATCGAAACATATGGAGCCTGGGGTCCTAAATGTTTGTCTGGGCACAGTGAACTTTACAAACATCGGCAGTAAAACTCATCTCAATAAGTTGTTTCTGATTTTTATTAGGAGCGTTAATTGCTTGAATTCTTTTCAATTAACTCACTACTTTAAACGAATGTTTAAAATAGGCCACAGTCACTTCTCCTGTCCCTTTTATTGTTCATTGTTTATAATCGCCATTTGGAGTTATACGTAATGTAAACGGCGAACGTTGCCTAAACCAAGAAGTAATTTATACGCCATCTGCAAACTGATCTTACGTTTCGGTGACATTTTCGAATGTTTATTTAGTGACAGTAATTTTATCAACGATCAAGTGATGGCAGCACATACACGGCTATAATTCGGCCATATTACGAGTAAAAATTGAAACTCCGTACAGTGACAGCATAACATGTTGCGATTTCCGTGACTTGGACAAGGAAAGATATTAGTGAGTAGTGAGAGCAGTGACTGTCATAGGACCACTAAATCAGTCACGCAAAGCCAATACTGCAAACTAAGTACGGTGTTCCTTTTACCTGAAAGATATAACGTGTCATGCCCAATAATGTGGCGAAGACTAAGATGGAAATCCACTTCCTAACCTCAAACCCCCTATTTCTTTAAGACCCATCTTCACAGTATTCACTAACTGGCGCCTGCAAGATGCAGGAAGGGTGGGGGGGGGCATCTGCTTTCTACCCGGATTTTTGGAGAAAGTACACAATTGATAAAAAGCAACTATTCACTCGTGTAATTACACTTAGCCAGTTTCTGATTCCATGTCAGAAAACTGCCCCTGTTCTACATCAGTAGCATCCTTCGTTGTATGCTGCTATAACTTCAGTACATAATCTTCACGAACTATACAACTTTCACAACATGTTTTGGCTGTATATGTCCTTCATCAGGTGTTCTTTTGCCAGAAACTTTCACTGTGTGGTATATCGCACTTCTATCACATATGAACATGATATGTCCTAATTTAAAATGAATAAATAATAAAGTCTAGTTAAAATTTTTCAGTAGTTTGCTTGGTGCTGTTCTCTTTATCCAAACACCATTGTGTAGATTTGCTTCATTTGGAATACTAGGCAATCTACAAGATGTTTGTATAAAGAAATAACAGCCCCAAAGCAAAATATTGAAAAGTTTAACCACACTTTATCAATTTTAATAGAGTCCATTATTTTAAATTAAGACTTACTGCATTCATATGCGACAGAAGATATACCACACAATGAATCAATTTTTGGCAGGAAAGTAAAAGTAAAAGGGAGGGACAGAAATAAATAAGTTGCATTGTGGACGGAAACAGTATAGTTTGTGAAGAATATGTTAATGTAACAGGATGCTTAAACAATATTATTTAGTACATAATGTTTGAAGACAATGAAATATTGTACCTCCCTTTCTCTCTGCAATGCATCACTGTTCTAACTTCACAGGCTGATTCACTCTCCTAGGTAAAGTAATATGCTTTTCCATTGGGCAGATAACTTCAAACTGCTGCTAAAACTACAATTTTACACTAATTACAATCATTAGGATTCTGAGAAACATTTGCTTACTTATCACTTCAGCTTCTAATACAATACTTATGACACAGCGACAAAATTTACCTCTGATTCCCCACAGTTCAGCAGTTGGCCATCAAAGCAAGATAACAACATGCAGATGTCAAATGATAATTTCTTTTGAAAATTATATGGCCAGTCAAACTATCAATAATCAAACCCTGAAGCTTTCAACAGTGCCATGACACACATAATGCACTGAGGGACCAATAATTCGCCTTGTGACTCTCATTTTATAGGCTTTACACATGACTATTCACTCAGAGGACGTCCCAAAGTAATTACTATAAATCACACAATTCAGCAACAAAATCAAAATGTAGCCAGTACAAACCTAGGTCGATGTGGAGACAACTGGTTTCCATGCAATTGAAGGCAGAGTGTTCCACTGCGCAATGCACAGAATCACAGACTGATCGAAACTGTGTGAACTTGGCAGGCATGCACTAGGTCAATGTTGCAAAGCACTAAATTTTTGCAAATTCTGATTTCATCAGTAAGTTATTGCATGATTTATAATCACCAATTCAGGGCCTCCTCTATCTGTATCACCATGCACTACCATACATTACACATATAAACTAATGCTTAATTAAAGCTGTCGATGAACCACTATAAAAAACTCCATGATTTCAGTCCGCAAGCGAACCATACCGACCGAGAGACCACTGCTTGTTGACGAAGTTTAGTGCCAACTTTTGTGGATAGACGGTGTCACGTGAACCAGTATAATATGTGCAAATACTTCAGACAAGCCTGCTGGCCCGTAGTTGGAGGCTTCAAGTTCCTCTGAAATGCTGGTACCTGGCCCCCATACCACAACCGTAATCTTGATGCTCACAGCTCTGAGAGCCCCACGTTCTGTACCATTAGTCTGCTCCATATTACCAACATAGCGATGTCCATGTTCTACCTCAAATACTCCAAAACCTGATTCACTGTTTCCAGGAAATTACATTCCTGTCTTCAACCTCCCTGGTGAGGTGAATAAATTCCTTTCTGAGACAGGACCACTGACTGTGCTACCACAAAGACTGATAATGATCACTGGCACCAGGCCTACAGCTTCACGGCACCAATCACAAAGCATGCTGGGGGTATATGTGCTGAACTTTCAATAGCATAGTGCAGGTACCATATTCAAACCTTACATTAATGTAAGACGGACTTCACAAATTAATGTTGCAAGAGGAACATGACGATTCCACTAGATAAACAGCTCTACTGGATAGCGTGACAGGTGGTGGCAACTTGATACAGGCCCAATCAGGCCATTTATTCATTTACGCACATAATCGGTACTTTCAGTCATGGCGAAAATATCTGAGATGAAAAGTAATGGCACAGTTATGTCATACAATGTTTTACAATTTCCAGTTAACCTACCAGACATCATATATTCATAAGCAGTAAGAACCCTAACCTAAAGCCAGCCTTGGGCTGACATACCACCATGAAAATGTTACACCTGATTGGGATCCCAGACCACACACTTGTTACAGATGGGGTGTGTTCTCGAAAATGTGTATCATCATGAAATTCTAAATGTGAACCAAACATATTAACTTCATTCTGATGTTCCAAGTGGAGATTTGTTCACTCCACAGTTATAATAAAAACACATTCCATCAAATTTTGCATTGAAACATGCAAAGCTACAGCACACTTTGAGGGACAACAGAAGAACCAAGTTTCATTCACATTCTGCATTTCTGCATACCGCAAGGAAATAAGCACTAAGCAATAAGTTTCAGAAGCCGATAATAAAATCTGTGACACAGAAAGTATTTCTGGCTCTTATTATAAAAACTGAAGTAAACAAAAATGTTTGGTAGCTTTATTGTAAATTCAACAAAAACTTACCTCTCTTGTTTTCATTTTAGTTGCAAATAGGTTCTTTAGAGAATGTTACTTAAAAGTGTTAGTTGGTAAATTTTATTATGCACTTTAATTTCATTTTATGAAACACAAGGTCAACTGGGATTTGCTGTACTCACATTTCACTGCATTAGTACACAAAACACAGTGGATACACTACTGTACTGTACATTATTATGGATGGCGTTCATCCACAACATTCTCATTTTGGTCACTGCTTGTGCACACAATTCATTGGTTACAATAGAATAACTCAGTGTGAGCAATCATTCTGTTCCTGCAGGCCACCCAAGAGACATCTTCATATACATGAATCTGATGTGCACTACACTGCAGAGTGCAAAGTGTAGGCGCATTACCATCTGAACCACTGTCTTTGTCCAAAATACATTAAAAGGCACATACCAGATACTTACACACTTGGCAAGTTTGTGATGCAGGAAGCACTTACTAGTGAGGCTCTCGTTTGGTGGCTATGAACATTACTGTTATATAGGACATAATGCCGTGCAGTCTGGTACGCTGTTATCAATGTTTTGGAGAAACCCTCTGCCACCCACTCTAAAGCTGGAGGCAGCAGGTTCTGCCAGACTACACGCCATCACATTCCACAAGATGGGAACGTCATGGTCACCTCAATGGGAAACTAAAATTTCACACAAATGCTGCAGTTGCTAACCACATGTTCAGAAACCACACAAGTGAAACTTTTATGCAACTGGTGATCTAGATTTAACATTCTCTGACCTCTGCGGCTGCAACGAGCAACTGACCATTTGTCATCTCAAATGTAAGAGTACTGTAATGTGTTTGATCAACATGCTGCCAGGCAACAGCTTTGTAAACACAATATGTCTCTTCAAACGGTAGAGCAAGCTGTGTTTTCTGTGTGTCAGGCAGTTGGCGTAGGATCAGAGACATCACACATCAACAGTATGTGGCCATCACGTGACATGTTTCCTGCATGTCCGTGAGCTTGAGGATGTGCGGTGAAGCCACACAGCAACAGTGAGTACGGGTCACGTGATATGTGTTTACTGTTGATGAGTGTCAGTCCCTTGGCTACATAAGTGAGCAGAATTCCTGAGCTGGCAAAGTTATGAGAAACACAGTAGTGGCGGAAGCACACGAGTGAGTGAATTGGAGCTAGCAAGTGACAGAGTTCTGAGTTCTCAGTAGGAGAGAGTCACGGGAAGTTCATATTTGAAGATGAGTTAACTTGTGAACTGAGGACTTCATGTGTGCTATAGTGCAGTGGGATTGGGAGTGTGTAATTTAGTGAGACTGTTATAGTTCTTACATTTTAACTGTGGCACCAGGAGAGGACCAGTGTGTGTGTAAATCAGGGATAACGCTGTATTTAAGTGTAATCGAGAGAGAGTGTGCAACCAAAGTGCTAATAAATTCAATCATCCGAACTAGAACCAGTCATTTTCGTTGTGCGTACCATCCTATACATGACAATATGTTTTGGTATCCACACACCACCTTCATAAGAATGAAGCCATTCTAAAGAGTGTAGGAAAACGTTAGCAGATGGCCCTCAAATTTAGCATCGAAAAACAGAACCACAGACACATGGCCATTATACTGAATGCAGGAACCCTTCCAGACACTGGCCCTTTTCATGTGACCGCCATATCCACCACCACAGCATACAGAACTGCCCTGTAGCTCAAACTGATGCAACAACAGAGTGTTAATGTGTGGCAGAAGAACTTTATCATTTGTAGGAAGGTCCGCAGAAAGACTTGATGGTCTTGAAGATGTCATCCATCATCATTCTCGCTGGCTCGGTGTAGCTCAACGTGGGGCTGTGCGCAACCTGCTGGTCCTCAAGATCCTTCAGAACCTTCAATGCTTCTTCTGCAGATGGCAACAGCATCGGCACATGCAAACAGCGATAAGCAAATCAGTTGGTGGTGCTTATTCAGCTGGTCAAGAAGCCATATACTGTGGCAGTGACCACACTACCCACTACCACATTCCGGGCAAGGCATGCAGCACACATTGGACACAACAGAAGTTCAAACAAAATACTGTTACAAAAACGTGAAGGAAAGAAACCATTAGGATGCTCAAGATGTAGATGGCAGCATAATATTGAAATGAATCCTAAGGAAACAACATGTGAGGATATGGACTAGGTTCACCAGGCTCAGGACAAGGATCAGTGGTTGACTCCGGTGAACAAGTTTCATATAATGTTGGGAATTTCCTGAGTGGCTGAGCAAGTGTTAGCTTCTGAAGCAGGACTCAGTTCCAAGGAGTGAGTGAGTAGGTGGGGGGATGTGTGGGAGAGAGAGAGTGTGTGAGGGAGGGAAGGATGGAAGGGGTGAGTGAGTGAGACATAAGTTTGTCTTCAATCTTGTCTCTGCCTTTGAAATTTTCCATCCAAATTTTATATGAATTTCTGGTTTCCCATTCATGCTTACAAGCCTTACCCATCCGACCCTAATTACACCACATTTTTTTCATAATGTCTGTGAAGTGCACAGAGATTCAGACAAGGCACCAGGTGTGGCAGGTGTAAACCTGGTTCTGAACAAGCTGACAGCTGTGAGTATAACGCACAAAGCCCATATGCCTGCTCCTGACAGATCCAGTACTCTATCATTACTGCTATATTATTTAATTATGAGAAGAACATATTATTTAAGTACAGATTCTGTCTATGTTATATGCATCAAATATAATCTCAGAGTTCTGCATCATTGCTAAGTTTGTAATTGCTGATTTACAAACAACAGTTCACATAATGTGTAGGCATGTTTATGGTCTACCGCTATACCATACTCCACACCTCCAATGTTTCATTAGTTATAGCTATCAAACTGAGAAAGCAAATGTTTCCATTGCTTTATGTTGTCATTTTACAGTCTTCAAAAACATTGCCTTAACAAAATCTGCATATTTCACAAGATCGATTGCAATACATCGTTTTGTGACCAGGAAGTTAGAGTCAAGTCAACCTCACATCTGTGCATCTGCCATGTCGTCACTGATCACTGCAGAAAATTAAAAGCATACAGCAATGTGATGATCTCCAATGGCGTAGCATTCATATCAAGTTTCATGAAAATCCGTCACTTGGTTCAAGAATTTAAACAGACACATACCTGAACATGTAGAGACAGCACACTGATCTCGTAACACTACTTACTTTACTTTTAAGCAAACATGGCTAAAAGTATCCGTGATTTACTTAACACTGTTCACAATAAATAATCAGTAAATACATATAACCTTTACAAGGGGAGGCATGTGTAAAATCCAAGAAATGGATATGAAATTTCTGAGAATTATTGAGGGGAAAACAAGAAATAACTGCATTAGAAATACAATTTTTAGAGGAGCTGGAATTCAAAACATGTCATTGGAGTTAACAGAGAAATGATTACAATGATTTGGCCATGTAAGGGGAAGGGATAGCATAGGGATACAAAGCAGGGCACCACAACTAACATCTGAAAGAAAAAACATAGAGAATGACCCAGAATATGATGGTTTGGCCTGTTACTAGAAGACACCAAAAAAAGAAGAAAGAGTTGGCAAGAAATCAAAATGAAATGTTTGTGGAGTAGGGGGGGACTACTGGAACTTTTTGTCCAGTGACCCATATATACTGGAAATGAAGCACAATGAAGAGGCAGCAGCGGTTGCATGTAGTGTTACTACCATCAGCTGCGAACATGCTGAACTGTATCCTGTCGCTGTTCCACCATCCGAATGAAACAGAGACATAACAAGCATTCAGGATGGAGGGGAACAGTGATTAAAGCAGAACCTCACACTCACTCACATCACTCCGCTTTGATTTCATTTCGAGATCACTCACCTTCCTGTTTGCTGAAATTCATGAACTTGAGGTTATCAATCAGCCCATGAATAAGGACCTGGTACTCCCCCTCCGCATTCGCCATAAGCAATCCGACATCGGCATCCTGGTGCACAAGTCGATGAAGGAAGACAAGTCCTCTGCCTAACAGATGCCGGATGTCATGAAACAACTGGTCCCCTGAACGCAACATTCAGAACTTCAAGAAGAGGTCAAGGGACACAGTATGGGTGTCGATAGTTAAGCCCCCATTTAAATTCCTTTGCAGAGAAGTGGATCAGAAAACCAAGCAAAGGAAAATCTCATTTAACTCCACAGAGTACAGTCGCACTTCAAAATCTCAAAAAACTTTTTGTTAAAACTAGAACAAATGGTTTGTGTCTTGGAATTTCTTCTTGTTAAAGGAAGAAGTGTTTTATAACTTTTCTTTTAAATACATGAGTAAATAAATCAGTTATATTAACTCATAGATGTTCCAACCACTTCATGTACTTAATGCTGTTATACAGTACAATTTTTATATATTAATGACATTGTAACAGTGGTTTCCTATATGTTGATTGTGTCCTTCTGAAGATGGTCAATCTAACCAAAACATGTTAAGGGAAATGAAAAATTGAAACACAACTTTTATTAATCAATCACTCTAGATGGTAATTTCTTGCAACTGTTCATCTACACTTATTACAACTTTTCTATAAATTTGCTGGAAGACATGTACTGTTTTGGTTAGCCATTTCAGTGTTACTGGCTGATCAAGCCAAACTACATCTGCCAATGGATTTATAAATGAATTGTTGCAATATATGTTGACAGACAATTGCAAGTAACAGTCTCGACAATATAAAACATGGATGAATTCAATTAAGGTCAGTACTGGAATATCAAAAGTCTTTACACTATATGTGGGTTACATATTACACCAAAACTCACTACATATGGAAAAGTATTGCACTGAAGAGTACTGCCTTCTGGGATTTGACACCATGTGGACTGGTAGAAGCAAGCTCTGTATGCTGCTTGACTTACTCTTCAACCCTGAAGATGGAAGCAAAGACCTAGGCAAACTTTTACAGGGCTACAAAATATAACATCCCAGAAGCTGGTACTTTTTGCAGCCATTGCTGTAAGGACCTCAAATCCAATTAATAACACGCTGTTCATGTTGGACTTTGGCAAGGATTAGAATAAAATATTCATCCATTTGGGATTTCATTACTCTCTTTGCATGGGTTATTTTATGATGGTGCCAGTACCTGGACTAGCACTGAATGGTAGCATGAATGATGAATTTGAAAGCATTTGGAAGGAAGCAGTTAAGGCATAACTGAGGTACTATCCCAGAACATGCGTGGAGGGGTCACAGGAAAGCCATGAAAAATCTATTAGGATAGTCAGTTTCGTGACTGAGGTTCAAACTGAGCACCACCTCCACCACTTTACGAACCCACTCGGTGATTTCACTGTAATTATCTCTGTAGCTCTAAGGGGTTGCATTTCAATTGACAGCCTTCACGGGAACGACTGAGGCTGCACCATAGCTCACCCTGGAAGTTGTTCTTCCTGATGTGTGAGTAACAGAGATGAAGCAGCATGATGACAGCTTCCACAATGCGAGCCCTGCACTGGCAGTCGCGTGTCTCTGTCTCAGGGTCATTAGAGCCAATCCAGTAGGGCCCTTCCTCCTGGTGTCTCGATACGCACATCAACCACTTGATCAAGCGGCTTGTCAACACCACGTACTGCTCGATACCGGCACGCTGTACCAGCAGCATCCAGCACAGCAGTGGTATCATGCAAGAGTCTGAAATACAAATGTTTAAAAGTTGAAAGCCAGAATAGTCCATTGCTAGCAAATGGACCCCTAACAAGATGCTGAATAATTCATTTGCTAGGCAACAGTTCAGTAATCATGTTCCTGCTGCAACAAACAAGAGAATGACAACTGTTTGAGGTGGTGGTCTCTATTCCGTTCTACCGAAGTTATAAAGGGAGGACATGTGAAAACGCTTAGCAGAGTTCATCCATAGGCGAGTCGTCATTTTTCATTCAGCTCAGTTGGAAGGGATTCATCATTAGTCATTCGTCACAGTGAAAGAGAAGACACTATAGTCGAGTAAGGACTGGAGCAAGTCTTAAGACAGACATTGATTGTGAGCTCTTATAGTTGACTGTAGTTGTAAAGAAGGTGTCAAATAAATCCAATCATCCAATCCAAAACCTGTTATTATTAGTCATGCAAACGCCTCATATGTGACATTTTAATGTCCGAAACCCAGACACGTGACACTATCATATAAAGATTGATAAATATCAGGTACATGGTATACATAGAAACCATAACTTTCCTCTTTGTACCCTGTCAGTTTGTTTGTTACTGCAGATGGAACACAAACACAAAAACAAATTTGTTCTCTTGCCAACATGCTTATATGAGGTTCACTAAACATTTTCACAAGGATGAATTCAAAATTCTGTTTTGAAGTCAAGATCAAGCTATATTTATTTCTTGAAAAGAACCCTTTCACTTTCACAACCTGAATTTAAAGATGAGTAAGAATAAGTCAGCAGCCTTTCATTGTTGTGAAGTAACTTTCCATACCTCACTCTACAGGTTAAAGTAGGATGAGAAATACAAGACGAACTGAAAAGAATTTGAAATAAAACAGGCATGCCCTAATTGAGGCACTCTTTCAACATCTGCTTGGAGGGACTGAGAAAAACCAGAAAAAACCCTCAGCCAGGAGAGCTGATGTTTTGACCAAAATTCAAACACAGCAAGTTCAATGTCACCAACACATCAACACATTCAAGCAGTCACCACAAAACCTTTACATCTGACGTACGTTACTACTGTTGCTTGAGAAGCAGATAGTTGCTCAGCTAGCCAAAGAAATTCCCCCCAAGATTCATCTACATGCTGACAACAGTCTGCGCTTGTGAACTTACCATTACCAAAATATTCAACTTCTTCATTAGAGCCGAGATCATACCGGGGTTTGCCTGCAACGTGTAAGAGATAGACAAACTGAGCAAAGCACAAATTCCAGCAGTTTCACTTAAACTTATGAAGCATGCAGTTCATTAAATAACACCAAAAAATTCAGTTATCCTATACAATATATGCTGCATCTACATTACAAGCACCATATGATTTATGCTGTTTATGTAAATAATCACTATGTATTTCTAAAATCACAAGAAACACCATAAACTGTGTGAGTAAAATTTAGTTTCTTTAGTGTTAATGGGCCAATCACAGTGGCTGCATGGTCTAAGGCGTAAAATGTCTCTGCCTGCTCAAACACTGGGATTGTAGGTTGAGATCCCACTCAAGGCATGGATGGATGCCTGTGTTTATTCTATGTGTAGGTAGTGGCCTTGTGATGGGCTGATACCCTGTCCGAGGAGTCCTACTGTCTTAGATTAATAAACTGAAGTAAAACAAAGTGTTTCATGGATGCTCCATGCTTGAAGTGGGTGCAATGGAAAAAGAAGAAGAAGGTGAATGGAGGTGGTACATATAATTACCAGTGTTCTTTAAAAGATTAAGACATACTATCAAGAGGTTAATGATGACCTATTATGCGACCAAAGTGTCAATTATATTCCAACTATTGTTAATGGACATTTAAACTCCAATAATCTGTCTCCTGCAAGTGACAATATTACTATTAAGGAGAGTCATGCTAGAAATGTAAAAAATGTAAATATAAATAGTGATAATTCAAAAAGGGTGAAACATAAAATAAGAATACTAGGTGATAGCCATGCACGTGGACTGGCATCTGAGTTGAAGCATAGGTTAAATCAAGAATTTGAGATACAAGGGGTAATAAAACCTGGATCAACATTGGAAAAATTGACAAATAGTGTAAGCTCAGACTTGAAAGAATTAACAAAGAAAGATGCCTGTATAATTTGGGGAGGTACAAATGACGTTGGCAGAAATGAAACTAATATTGGTATTCGTTCACTACATGAGTTTATAAGTTGTCATCAACATACTAATGTTATTGTTTTAAAAGTTCCACATAGATATGACTTAGCATCTAATTNTTGCCGATGATACAAGTGTAATAGTAAATGAATTAAATTTTATGCAGCTGGAAAAAAAACTTACTACAGTGTTTAGATCGATGAATGAATGGTTTAATTCAAATATGCTTTCATTAAATTTAGGCAAGACTTGCTGTGTAAATTTCTCAGCTAAACATAATTTTACCAAAAAATTAAATATTGAATATGGAAACAAAATTCTATTAGAGTCAAATGAGGTAAAATTCTTGGGTATGACACTGGATAACACAATATCTTGGAAAGGGCATATAGATTCAATTATAGGTAAATTAAATAAAGCCTGTTATATAATTAGGAAAACCAAACAGTATTTAAATATTGATGCCCTTAAAATGGTGTATTACGCCTTTTTCCACTCAGTGATGTCTTACGGTTTGATTTTTTGGGGAAATAGAACTCTCAGTATGTGCGTTTTTAAATTGCAGAAGAGAGCTGTTCGAATAATGGTGGGAGCTGGAAACAGAGATTCATGTAAAAAAATCTTTAGACAATTGAAAATATTACCACTGCCTTCTCAATATATATATTCTTTGATGATGTTTGTAGTTAATAATATGGATTTATTTGTAGAAAATTCAGATATATATACAACTGCAACAAGAAATAGTTCAAATTTGCATCTCCCCTCATCAAATCTAACAGCATTTCAGAAAGGTCCACAGTATTTTGGAATCAAAATTTATAATAGTCTTCCACGCAAAATAAAACAGTTATCCAAAAACAAAAATCGATTCAAGAAAGAACTATTACAATTTCTCCATTTACATTCATTTTATGGTATTGATGAAATTTTTGATTACACGGTTAAGAAGATTGATAATTGATTTTATTGGGATTAAATACTTAATTGGTGAAAAGTTAAATTACAAGTTTTATAATTTTAAAATTGTGTTTGCATAAATATTTTAACATGTATTATATTTTTTGTAATTATTATATTTAATTGTTATATTGGACTATTGTCTATATCCTGAGTCTTACGACCTTGTAAAGGATTTTTGACATGTAAATAAATGAAATGAAATGAAATGAAAAACCAATATATTATGATGCTGAACATTCGTTATCCTCAAACTGAGAGCATATAAATATGATGAAGATGGATGCAGCATGTTCCTCCAAAATACTGGTAACTGTTGACCAGACTACATGGTGTCATATCCAAGAAATCACTGTCATGGGAACCTCAAGGCTCACAAAATCTCCATGACTTTTGGACTACAACTGAAGAAATTACCTTTAACAAAATATACCGCTCCAATTGTACCACCGAGATAGGGGGACGGACCTGCAAACAAACAGAACCGCGTCGTGTTATAGCCAACACTGCTTTCCATTAGTTTTGACAGCCACAATCATGAACTACCAACAATCCCATTATTAAAGACTGCAGAAAAGAAGTTTGGAGACTTTCCACGTACTGACCCACAGAAAACAGAAAACAGGGCCTGGAAGAAGAAGAAGAAAAAGGAGGAGGAGGAGGAGGAGAAGGTGGTGGTGGAGGAGGATGAGAAGAAGAAGAAGAAGAATGCAGTCCTTGTTTCCTTCTGTTGCTATCTGCTTGCAATTCTCTATCTTTTTCCAGTTTAATTCCATATTTTACTACATTTTTCACTTAAGCTAAAAATATTTTACTTTTCCACACATGAACCTCCACTGGCCGTGGGCACTGCATGTGTGTGTGGGACCAGCTGGCTCAGGGCCACATGTATTCTTTCTGTTTTGGCAGTGCATTTGCCAATGTTGTCAGCAGACTACATACTGTTGAATGGCAGGATAACAGAGGAGCAATGAATTAGAAAGGATCTGGAAGGAAGGGAGTCCCTTATTTAAGTAGAATGACACTTGTTGCAAGAACTAGGAGAAACCAAGAAAAACCTATCTGACAGCCAGGGTCACAGCAGAGACTTGAACCAAGCACCTCTGAAATACAAGACTAACACGTTAGCGATACATCAATCTGTTCAATCACCACACACATATTTTTTCACTACAAATAATATTATACTCAACATAAATCCAAGCCACCAGTGAGGCAGTACTGGGCAATTTAAATTCTCTATTCCTGGACAATGAAAGTTCATCTGTACTGAGGCAAAAGCCTCAGATCTTTCATTTCACTGTCTGCATATGCTTATAAGCAAAAAAGTGGTACAGTGCTTACCAGTGCCATGGCACAGAGTCGCCATTATGCTGCAGTACTTGCCCAGCGAGAACAGGAGTTCAGTAAGTTCCATCAGTACATTCACAGATGGACGGCATAACAGGAGATCTTGCAATATCTTTGCCAAAAGTGGACATCTACAGAATAGAAGTCCCAAGAGAGTGAACACCATGAAAACCAACTTAAACAGAACTTAAATTAAACTGAAACCTTTAACAGAAATCTACAACATTCAGGGATGGGACTCCATGCAGTTACATCAATAGGCAACAATATTTTGGAGAAATCTGCTGCCTCCAGCTTCAGGGTGGAAGACAGTGATGGACACACCAAGTTTATCTGAAACTTTCATAGCAAACTACATGGCATCATACCCCAGAAAGCAACAACCTTCAATGTAAAATTGGTTTCTTGGTTTTCTAGGATGTGACACTGTACAGTTCAGGATTGGCCACAAACAGTGCATCTGAACCTGCACTTTTATCCTGAAGCTGGGTTTGATCACGCTAATAATACATGGTGAAGGGTCCAAATTTTGAATCAATTCAGTATGCAGTTTTCTCCAGCCTCCTGTCCGTATGTACTCACGTTGCAAATATTTACCTCTCACTCTCTACTGCTTATCTTCTGCATTATTCAATTCCTGCACATTCTGCACCGTAACTCACCTGTCCTCCTTGAACTCAACTTTGCATGAGATCACCCTCAAAAGATGTGTCACCCCAAGCAGCACTCCATTGAATTTCAAAGACAATCTCTGAAACACAATGTGTATACATTACTCAACTTGAAATATATGCAGAAGTCAACATCAGAGGGTGAGCTGCTTGCTGTGAATCTTCGCAATATTACAGACTCACATTATTTATCTGCCCAACAAGCCTTTGTCACATACAGTGAACAAGAAGTTCTGTGAAGAACCAATCACCTACCTTCCTTTGAAACAACACAGACTGCATAGGAAACGAAAAAGTTTGGGTGGAGGGAGGGACCAGTCACACCGGGAGGAAGGTCATCTCATGAGCCTCCTAATAAAAATTATGGTGGGGATACACATACAGACAGCAAGGCGATCTCATAATCCTCACAACCCTGCAAAATTATGGAGTGATACACATACAGACAAGGAGATAACATAAGCTTCTTTTTAATATGTGGTGTGTTCAAAAAGTATCGAGCCTTTTTTTTCCCGCGTAAACCAATCAAGCGTGGGAAGCTCCCTTTGGTGGAGATGTGGAGGGGACATTCATGCACAGTTGTGAATTTTTACCCGCCCGCAGAAAGCGTCAGTCGTTGGCAGTCGGCCTATGAGTGAGGACGTGTAGCGAGCACTCGTCGGATTCCAGTAAGGTGTAAAATGACGGAACAACATGAGCAGCGATAGTGCATCAAATTTTGCCAAAAGCTTGGCAGTACCCAAGTGGAAACCATTCGCAAGATTCAACAGGCTTTCGGGGACGATGCCATGAGCAACTCACGGATAAAAGAGTGGTACAACCGCTTCAAAGATGGCCGCACATCAGTGGACAGCGAACCGCGTTCAGGCAGACCCTCAACAAGCCGAACTGAGAATGTCATTGAGCAAGTGTTGACTTTGGTCATGGAGGACCGTCATATCACAGACTGAGAACTTGCTAACGAGATAGGGGTAAGCACTGGATCGGTACATTCAATTTTGACCGAGGATTTGGGCATGAGGAGAGTGTCGGCGAAATTCGTACCGAAACTGCGCATCTGATTCAGACTTTCGTCGCCAAACACAACATCCCTGTGGTTTGTCAGGCTCCCTACTCCCCCAACATGGCTTCATGTGACTTTTGGCTATTTCCCAAGCTGAAAATGCCGCTGAAAGGAACCCGATTTGAGTCAAGAGAAGACATCATGCGGAATGCGATGGTCCGGCTGATCACCATTCCAAAAGACGCATTCCAGAAGTGTTTCCAACAATGGCGGAAGCGCTGGGAGAAGTGTGTGCATTACCAAGGAGACTATTTTGAAGGGGATTAGGGTTTTGTACCTCCAAATCAATGAATGTATTTCTGCCGACCAAATGTTTGATACTTTTTGAACACACTACGTATTTCAAAATAAGGAAAATATGCTAAAACATGATCATTTGATTTATATTTATCTATATGTGTTCTGATCTTCAGTCATCTTCAGAAGACTGCAACACGTGTGTCTAGACATAAACTAAATCACCACATTCATTCGCTGTATGGGTATGTGACAAGAACTTGTGCAACTGAAGAAATGTGGTATGAAAGGACTTTAGAGATTGACATAGTAGTACAAGAAAAGTATAAAACATGAAGCCCCTCATTGTGCTCCTCAGCGGTGCCCTGTTCCCAGCCTATGCTCGTTCCTTAAGATGAGAACTTGCTGCTCTACACTCATATCATATTGTGACATGTTGCACAACGAAGGACCCCTACCTCCCCAGCGGCACGTGGCGGTAACGTAGCGCTCGCGTAATAGGTGAGTCANGTCATCACCCCGCCACTCTCCCCGCGGTGACGTCACGAGCGGAGCCGATGTTAGCCGAGCCCCCGCAACCTGGTAGCTATGCAACACGAGTCAACAGCGGTGACGTAACAGGATGATGTGGCACTCATTACGCAACAGGCAAGCACTGCGGCTATATAAGTGATCTGCACAGCGGCTGCGAGTCAGTTGTAACGTGGCCATCGCCGAAGATAGTTCCGAGCAAGCGTACGAGCAAGTGTGTTATCAACAGTTCTCCAGTCAGCCGACTACTGTTGGAGTATAGCAGCCGTCGCGGAAAGAGGAACCGGACGTGTGATTGTGTAATTGGGAGTGTGTGATACAGTGATAC